GGGTGTTTTTTTTTTTTTTTTTTTTTTTTTTTTGTTTTTTGGTTTTTTTTTTTAGTTCTTTTCTTTTTTTTTTTTTTTTTTTTTTTTTTTTTAAGAAAAGAAGCATTTACCTGCTTTTTCTTTCACCTTGTAATCAACGATGAGCAGCAGCATGTGTACATATACTTCTTCAAATAATTTTTCATGTTTCCTGGAAACAATTTTAGCATTCAGTAGACAGATTCAAATGATGTGGTTAAGAAATGTAATCCCTGTCTTCCAAGAAGTGTGACCTTCACCAATTATGCCTGTCTGCAGTGCTGTTTTTCCCTCCTCAATTATAGCTGCCAAAGGGAAGATGAGTCCTTTTAATCCTCTAATGCTCCATCTCCTTGCCTCAGTGTTGGTTGTTTCGCGGTCCATAGACTTAACTGCTTTAAATGTAACATTACTGATGACAAACTTATACCACTGTTGTGTCCCTGCTGTGTGGCTGTACCAGAGGTTTGTGACCTCGCGTTGGTGAGGTTACACCATGCCAGCTCTCAGTGTGAGGCAAAGCCTGAGCTGTGATGCATCAGCAGTTGTACTGCTGGAATTCCTGGATAACAACTTTGACCATCCTGCTTTTACACCAAAATAAAATCAGGCTTTAGCGGTGTAGGACCGTGTTTCTCCCTGACAGCATTGCATCTGTGGTTGTGGGATCCCTTCATATTGGTCCTTGAACCTGCCCACTTCCCACCAGAGGACACCACGAATAAACCCTGAGCTTCAAGTCTCACGGTGAGGAACTTGGGACAGTGATTGCCTCTCTGCAGAATGAGGGTTATAGAATCCAGCCTCCAAAGCAGTGATATAAAGTGTGATTCATTCCCTTTCACTGCCAGCAGCATGCAAAGTAGCTCCATCATAAATAAGTAATACTGTAGTACATTTATCGAACAAAGCAGCAAAGTGCATCCTGTGGTGTGCTGTCTCTGGATGGAGCTAATCCTGGTGGGTGCTCAGCATCTCGTCCTGAAATGTTTAGCTTTTGCTGAGGTAATTGCTCATCTTCACCAATTAGTGCCTCTTACAGGTGGAAATTGCTGCTCTGGCTGGAGCTGAGAGCAATGCAGGGCTGTTGTGAACCTCAGCCTCTAGACGCCCTGACTCCATCCCAGGCTGCCATACCTGGCAGGGGCCAGGCAGAAGGACAGTGAGCATACCTATTTTCGTGCTGGAGATGCACAAGACTGATTTGGAGCTGGCACTGGAGCTCCTGTCCCTGGAGAATACCATAACTATTAGGCTTTTGTTATGTTTAAATGGACAAAAGAAAAAAAGCCTGCTAACCTGAATGGGTGCTAGGCTGAGTCAGCAGGAAGGAGATGGGAGCAGATCGGTTTTGTGGCTCTCGTCCCAGGTCCTGGATCCAGAGGAGACCTCTGTCATCTGCTTGCCCTTGGTCGCCTCCACTGCCTGCAGTGACCTGTGGGCCCCCAGAGACCAGCACCCACAGCCATCGTCAGGATCCGTTGGGTTTTTGGTGTATCTGCAGCACATTTGTGGGATCAGACCTCTAAGACAGGCTGGAGAATGTCACGTTCTCATGTCCTTCTGGTGCTGACACACTGGTCGTGGTGGCACTGCTGGCATTCAAGCCAGGCAGCTCCTGGTGCCTGGAGGGCTAGCAGTCACTGCGAGGTGCTTTCTGGCACCTTCATCTCAGGAGAAGGCTCTCAGGCCAGTGATACTAATATGCTTAGTGAGAACCTGAAGCCTTCAATATGCAGCTTAACCAAACCAGCCTGCTAGATTGGCTTAGCTGTATTGTCAAACACAACCCTAGTGATCTATAACTGTGTGTGGATATTTAACTCAGTTCTTGGTTTGTCTTTTAAGAAGACCATGTAAACATCACATGTGTCACAAGTGCTTCAAGTGCAGGAAAAGCATGGTATGAGAATACAAATGAATCTGGCTTTGGTTGGCATTCAGACTTGCCATGTATTAAGCGTAAATATATTTATAATACAACTATGTTTATAATACAAATATGTTTAAATACATCAAGCTAATTATAAGAGCAAAGTCTCTCCTGCTATTAACAGTGATGAGCCCTGAATGCCACTGGCAGCTTAAAAGCCAGTTGCTTTGGGCTGGTGCACAGCAGGTGGGGTTTCTACAGCAGATTGTGGAATGAATTCATTATAATCCTTTTGTGTATCAAGAAATTCCACTCTGCACAGGTTCAGATAGGAAAAATAACCCCCAGTTCACATCCGTGTGAACGCTTCCCCCTTGCCTTGATGTTCAGACAGTTTGGGGATAATCAGGCAAGCCGCTGTTGATGAGTCACTTTCTCCATCTCCTCTCCTGATTTATGTATTGAGGCCAAAGCTGCTCTTACATTTAGACTTCAGATTTGCTTCACCCCTGCAGCATTGCTCTTTAACGCATTGTTGTTTTATTTATATTCTAAGATTTGTACAGATGTGCTGGCACAAATGGGTATGTTAGTGTTTCCAAAAATGCTCGGTTCAGGCCAATGTTTAAAATAATTATGTCATCCTATAAATACTAACTCTAGTTAAAAATGTATAGTTATGCTGAAGTAGGTTATGTAGACTACTCGATTTCTGGCATTTTCTAATCTTTTGTGACGTTGATAATACTCTAGTAATGTAGTCTGAGCAGAGGGATGATGGATGGGATTAAATGCAGAGGAGCATGTTTTGATAAGAAGTACAGGTTAATGAACCTTTGAATAGAATTATTTTAACAAAGTGCTTGTAAAGCCAGTTCTAAAAGTGCTTTTAACTGTCTCTCTGAATCTGAGCCTGCTTTTTTCTTTGCTTTTGTGTGCTCAAAAACATAGGATTTTAGGAGTAAACTCTGTGGTTGTCTATTTAGCTGCCTTAATTGTCCATGTAAATTTGAGATTTGGGACATGGGACAACTTTACTTAGTCAGAGTGACAAGCAGATGTCTTAAGATTGTGCCTGACAGTTTAGCCTAAGCAGGATTACCTAAATCCTGTGCAGCTCTGCTCTTCCTGCGTTTCTGTCCTGATCGCTAAACGCTTTGTCTGATCTCTGCTGCTTCCAGACCCAAAGACCTTCTGCCCCAGAGCAAGCAAGTGAGCGCTAGGGACGTGTATTTTTGATTTGAGGTATAGGCTAATTAGCTTTGTGGGAAACCTTCTTCATCCTGTCTCGTGAAATTAAAGTCATCCTGGACATGGTTGATCATTCTTGGTGTGGTGCCAACTCACTGGTATAGACAATAGTGATGGCATGTCCATAGGTCGGAGTTGGTCTTGTGTGACTGGGATGATTTGTAGAAAATGCTGCAGCAGTTATCTCCTCTATTCTTTTTCTGTTTTGTTTTGGCTTCTTTTTTTTTTGCTGTCACTCTCCATGGCCAGGCCTGCCGTTCTAAAGCAGCTAAGCTGTGTTGCAGAGTTGCTGGGTGAAGCTGGTCAGGTCCATGCCGGGCAAAGAGGGTCTTTGCAGCAAGACATACAGCAGTCCTCTCGGAGAGCAGGGTTGGATTTTTTTGTTTATTCAAGTCATTATTAATAACTTACAAATATAGATAGTTTTTGTGATTATTTCCTGGTGTTTGCACTGAGACCAGAGTTGTTCTTCCTGTTCAGAGCTGTAGCTACCCAAGAGACCTTATCCTTTCCCAGGCCTGTGGAGCATGACTACTGCAATGTTCTGCTCTATGGAGCACCCTTATGCTTTCAGCCCAGTCTTCTTTCCATCCTTCTTAAATCCTGGTTCACCTTTGTTCCTGGAGCAAGTTGCAGCAGTGTGGAGAGCGGGGAGAACAGGTTGGTGGGAAAGACTGGTTTCTTTGTGGTGGTGTTTTCCCCAGGTCTGTGCAGTCAATTTCAATGTGAATCCCATTTTTCTCTTGAGTGACTCATGATTTACTGGGAGAATAAGCACGGGGCAGCCTGTGTAAGTGTTGCAAAGTCATTTTTCTCTGCTGCTGCTATGAGTTGAGTGAGGGTCTACTCCTTATGGGAAACTACCTCTCCACCAGGGCAGTGAGCACTCATCACTAAGGAAACTGGCTGCCTGACCTTTGTGTGAGCCTTTCCCGGGTGCTGATGGGGCTGTCTGGGTATTGCACCGCTCTGACTTATTTTTTGCATCCTTCTAGGACTTTAGCTTATTGCCAGTGGGTGGAAAATCTTCACGAGACGCAGAAGATGGTCTCGCTGTTTGGTCCCTTCAGTGACTTGCTGAAGTGGGTCCTCTGCCACCTGACCAAAGGGATCGTGAAGCGGGAGATGTACGGCCACGGCATTGGCCGCTTCTCGGAGGAGGAAATGTACACGCTGATGGAGAAGGACATGCGGACCCTCGCAAGCCTCCTGGGTAATGTACCACGAGTTCTTCACCTTCTGTTTGATCACAGCTCGCTGTTCACAGGATGAAATCTCAGCTGTGGCCATCTCGGGGTGCCCTCTGCTGTGGGACTACTGTTGCTTTGAGGTTGGCCCAGCGTGGCTTCATGAACATCACAGAGAGGAATGGGGTTGCGATGGGTGATGGAGCAAGTTCAACCTGTGACTTGGGAGCTCAGCAGGTTCCCCTCATTCTGGCTTGGCAAGGCTGGCAGGCTGAAGGGAGCAGCAGTGGATGTGTCTATGCAAAAGTCATCCCTGTCTGCCCAGAGCAGACGTAACCTTCAAGAGAAAATGGAAACATGCCTGAGTACCTGTAAAAGTCTCTTGTTTTGCTGATTTGAAGTCTGCATCTTTCTGTCTCTGGAGTCTATGCTGACACTTAGATTTTTTTTTTTTTTTTTTTTTAAGTTTTCCCGGGTGCTGATGGGGCTGTCTGGGTATTGCACCGCTCTGACTTATTTTTTGCATCCTTCTAGGACTTTAGCTTATTGCCAGTGGGTGGAAAATCTTCACGAGACGCAGAAGATGGTCTCGCTGTTTGGTCCCTTCAGTGACTTGCTGAAGTGGGTCCTCTGCCACCTGACCAAAGGGATCGTGAAGCGGGAGATGTACGGCCACGGCATTGGCCGCTTCTCGGAGGAGGAAATGTACACGCTGATGGAGAAGGACATGCGGACCCTCGCAAGCCTCCTGGGTAATGTACCACGAGTTCTTCACCTTCTGTTTGATCACAGCTCGCTGTTCACAGGATGAAATCTCAGCTGTGGCCATCTCGGGGTGCCCTCTGCTGTGGGACTACTGTTGCTTTGAGGTTGGCCCAGCGTGGCTTCATGAACATCACAGAGAGGAATGGGGTTGCGATGGGTGATGGAGCAAGTTCAACCTGTGACTTGGGAGCTCAGCAGGTTCCCCTCATTCTGGCTTGGCAAGGCTGGCAGGCTGAAGGGAGCAGCAGTGGATGTGTCTATGCAAAAGTCATCCCTGTCTGCCCAGAGCAGACGTAACCTTCAAGAGAAAATGGAAACATGCCTGAGTACCTGTAAAAGTCTCTTGTTTTGCTGATTTGAAGTCTGCATCTTTCTGTCTCTGGAGTCTATGCTGTCCTTTTGATTTTTTTTTTTTTTTTTTTTTAAGTCTTTTTCATCTTCCTCTCTGAAATGGATGTCAGATTAATCAGTGTGCAGTGATGTGAATCATTATATTTGCCCTTTTGATTATTGGTGCATTTATCTACGTTTCTATAATTGCCTCGATTTCTCATTAACACCAGCATGCTTAGGTTTTCTCCAGCCAGCTCTTTATGGTCGGGTCTGGTAACTGTGGCCTCCAGGTAGTATCCTGGGATGGGGACAGGAGGTGGGATGAGGAATTCCAGCCTGACTGGAGACTCCTGTTACACAGAGGGAAGGAGAAGGCGGTCAGTCAGTCTGTTGTCTGCACAACAATCATTGTGAGATTCTCCTCCATCTATATGTGCCCATGTATTTCCCCGTAAAAGGATGCACTTGAGATTTCGGCTGTTAATTAGAGGGCAATTTTAAGAGCTTAAAAAGGATGCCTGTCTTGCAGAATAGCTGAACATACCAAACTGTAGCTGTCAGTCATCAGGCATATCAGATTAATGTAATGCTCCCCATTTTTTAACAGAGCTATTCACATGGGAAGAAGAATAACTTTTAAATTCCAAGAGCTGCTTCCAGAGAATGATAACTTGGCAGCTGCCAGGTCTTGTGACACTCATTTTGACATTCCCAGTCACATCTTGGGTACTTTTTTTTCCTTTCTTTTTCATTTCTGAGAATGTGTTGTTTTTTTTTTTTCTTCTTCCATGTACCTGTTTCCCTAACAGATCTCATATAAACGTGGGAATTGGAACGTAGAATCCTGTGATGGATCAGCCTGCTCTGTTGGTATCAGCTTGCTTTCTGTCCTGCAGTCTTTTAGTCTTTCAACCACAAATGTAATTTCCTTGTCCTCTTGTAGTTTCCTACTGCCTGACAGTAGTGTAAGGAAGTGAGGGCAGTTGGGTATATGAACTAGCAATATATAAGAATATACGTTTTAGTAATTATTTAAAAGATGCAAGTGAGCAGTGCCCATAAATCTGATAGTGCTCTCAGCTGTCTGTCCACCCCAGGCTTTTGGGTGAATGGGGCTTTTGATTTAGGGAGTTGCAGGGCAGCAGCTGCCCGCACTGACTTTTGAAAAGCATTTGATGTTTTGTGGAGGGCAGGGGTGCTCAGAGCTGAAACACAGAGGTGGGACTAACCTGAACCCAAGGCTCTGATGTTAATTGAAATGCCCTGCAGCAGCCTGCGTGGGCTGTACGTGCTGCTGAGGAGGGGTGCAGGTCTCCTGTAGGTCCTGTCTATCATAGGTCTCTCTTTTGCCGGGGTTTCTTGACCCACTGCTAAAGTAGCTGCTTTTTAATCCTCTGGTGTGTGCATTTGTCAGTAGTGGAGCTGTGTGCTCTCACATCCCCAGGCAGTACGAATTCCACCCGAGTCTGGTGTGACCAGATGATTGCATTTCTGTTGGGTTAGGCAGGGGGTACGGGGAAGTGTTGGAGATGATTCGTGCTATGGCAGCCTCCATGTGACATGAGCCGTGTTACCTGGCATAAAAACTAGACACTGAGAGATGATACCTGGTCTGTCAGAAAGTCTTCTGGAAAAAGGTTGCACTGGAAGTTTTGGGAATGGATTAGAATGGAACTGATAGAAGGAAATGTGTGTGGAGGCTGTGTTGTGCAGTGCAGGGTGACCAGATTTGCAGTTTTATGGCACCACAGCTCTATTTCTTCCTCTTTCCCTTTGTTTCCACGCACCTGAGGGTGTAGGTGCTGTGCCTGGGGGGGTCACTCCACTTGCTGTTCATCCCTCACTCACTGCCTGCCTTAGTTGTAGCAAGATAGAAACAGCAATATTGCTTCCCAGCAACACCTCGTTATGGACCGAGTCTCAGACCTGGTTGGACGGTGCTAAATTCCTAGTGTTGGCATGTAACTGTGGTTTGGGGACCAATTTTGTGAGCTGTGTTTGAGATCGATGAATGCTCAGTGTCACATGAATAGTGAAAAGACACAACATTTACCTTGTACATAGTTTTCAAAGAATAGATTGATGCAGCTGTGAAAGAGCTGGGGAGAGTTAACTCAGTGTTAAAATTACACCCGACAGGCCAGAGGAGGCTATTGCTGCTGGCTATGCCTGAGCAGTGCTGTGCTACACTATAGTGCAGGGGATGTTGTACTGTACTCTGGAATTTGATGTATTTTACTGCTGGACAGTTTTTCTAAACTCACTCAATAACCCTAACATTTAATAACCTGCTGAATTACAGGCAGCTTATGTTGGACAGGGGAAGAATGTCCTGGGGAGATGGGATAACTGGATTTAGAGAATTCAATTACATACTGCATTTCACAGAGTTTATAGCACTTTGGGCCAAGGCAGGGACAGTGGAACTGTCTAAGCTGCCCTCTGCAATACCCCATGTTTCCCCTGCCTGCTCCGTGTGCGGTCTTTGCTCCAGCTCTTGTGCCTGTGGTGAGGAAACAAGTTTATACCATACATTTCATAGAATCATAGAATGGTTTGGGGTGGAAGGGACCTCAAAGATCATCTAGTTCCAACCCCCCTGCCCTGGGCAGGGACACCTCCCACTAGAGCAGGTTGCTCAAGGCCACATCCAGCCTGGCCTTGCACACCTCCAGGGATGGGGCATCCACAGCTTCTCTGGGCAACCTGTTCCAGTGTCTCACCAGCCTCATAGTAAAAAAATTTCTTCCTGAGATCTAATCTGAATCTTTTTTCTTCCAATTTAAAACCATTTCCCCTTGTCCTATCATTACTCTTCCTGGCAAAGAGTCCCTCCCCAGCTCTCCTATAGGCACCCTTCAGGTATTGAAAGGCTGCTATAAGGTCTCCCCGGAGCCTTCTCTTCTCTGGGCTGAACAATCCCAGCTCCCTCAGCCTGTCTTCATAGCAGAGGTGCTCCATCCCTCTGATCATCTTCGTGGCCCTCCGCTGCACCTGTTCCAGCTGGTCCATGTTCTTTGCAAATGGTGGCTTTGGAACATGATTTCTTCCCTGTCTTAAGTAGCTATCCATCTGTTTGTGCTGTGGTGGCCACTTAGGACCATCATGGCATTGGGGTGCCCAGAGAGGTAAGCAGAGTAGTGCTATGGAGTAGACATGTTCCTCCTCTGACCCAGGCCGGTCCCAATCAACTTGCTGGCCTTATGTACCTGTGTTTGGTCCCTGGCAGGTAGAAACCGGTGTTTGGGGGTGGAGACACTGCACTGGTGGTGTGTGAGGAGATGTTCACTCCTGCCTATGGCTGTGTCCTCCTTGAGATGCAGGTCATTCCCGAGCAGTCTGACTGCTCCATCAGTTTCAGCCTGAGCAAATGGTGGGAGAGGAAAGCATTGGGTATGACTTCCTTTTTTCGTGTGGTCAGATGGGTGACCTGAAACTGGATCTGCACTCATGAGAGATATGGGGTGAACTAGCTTCTTTCAGCAAGTGCATTCATGATTTTGAACCAGGGTTGAATGATTTTGGGTTTGTACCAAGGGAGAAAATAATGCTTTTGGGCACCTGCTGGCTATGGAAATATTTTTTAAAAGCAGCATGAGGAGTGCAGTGTGTATGTGCTGCCAGCGGTGATGAGCGGAGGAGGTTACTTGGCCAGTGGTGGCTCTGTAATTGGCCTAGTTATAGAAGAGGTGAGCAGAGGGGAAGCTGCAGTAATGGATTTCACCTGCTGAACCCTAGCAACAGCTTTTGAACCGTATTCAACATTGAATCCCTGTCTTTGAACCAGAGAACATTTTCAGCTAAACAATTTGAGTAAAAAAAAAATAAACATTAAAGATGTAGCCAAGGAATGCTGGGGCTTTTTTACGTGTGTGATTTTTTTTATTTTTATTTTTTTTTTAAACTGGGGGGAAGTTACATCCAGTTGAGAAGTGTTTGCTCTTGTATTTACAGGTGACAAGAAGTACATTATGGGACCAAATGTATCCACTGTTGATGCAACTGTCTTTGGGCATCTGGCACAGGCGATGTGGACACTACCAGGGACTCGACCAGAGAGACTGATCAAAGGTAAGAAAGCTGAAGTGATCTCTGATGGAAAAACTCCTGGTGACATTTGCCATGTTTAAACTTGGAGCACCTTGTAAGGCCATGTGAAGGCTGCAGCAGCACTGCAACTGTGTCGCGGGCTGTTCTTGCCTTTGATGTCGTGTTTGTATCCTGTAATGTTGTTTTCTCTTTAAAATTCTTGTTTGTTTTCTCTTTAATGTTCTGCACTGTAATTGTTTCTGTTCCTGCACTTGATCTTTTCCCTGTTTAACATAGCAAAGACTGAAAGCCTCTAAAGAATGAATGCTGGGTGAAGTATGAGAAGACAGAAGCACAGCCATGAGCCAAATTCTGCTGAGCTCAGTAGTTTCATTGAACTGCAAGTGCTATTGTCCCACTGAAATTACAGCCTTTGCTGTTATTGAAGATGCTGGGCAAGGAAAAAGTCCTGACTTTGGAGTCACTGTGTTTTTGCATGAATTGGAAATATACCCCTTTCCTCCACTAGTTTTTCTTTTTTTTTTTTTTTTTTTTTGGGCTTAGGCGTGTGAAAGTATCTTTGCATCTCTTTTCAGAATAAAGCCAGGCAGTATGGAAGAGCTAAGGAGGAAAAGAATGTGAAATAGGTGTCAAAGGAATGAATCTGACCTGTAGGTCTACTCGGTGCGAGAGAGAGAGAATTACTAAAGCAATAGTTAGGAAGGGTTGACTTGCTCATTATTAAAACTTTGAGGAAAAAAAAATTCTTGAGATTAGGATATAAGTATTGTCTATACAATTCTTCCCCTTGATGTCTGGGGTATCACAGATAAAATTCTGAAGGGTCTGTGGCTTTCAGGAAGAAATACTATGTCTGTTGAACTAGTTTGTCATCTAACGAAAATAAACAGCTGATAATAGATGCAAATACTGAAGCAGTGTGGATGATTCTCTGTACTAATCCACCTACTCATGCTATTGTGAGTGCAGGTTTCACATAGACGTTCCCTTTAATATGCTATTATTTCTTTGTTGTTTGAAGTTTTTTGTAGTTTCTTCTCTAAGCATTTCCGTGTGTATATACATAAGGCATAAGATACTAAGGCTGGGAACATTAAGGGTGAGCAAGGGATGGTATAAAACCTTCAGAATGTGAATTTATCTTGCAGACAATGCTGCCATCTGGTGGTGTAAAACTCAAATTCACCGTATTTTAAGAAACAAATATACTGTGTATATATAGGATCAAATTCTGTCTTTAGAAACCAGGTTTATGCAATATAAGCAAGAATTTTGCTATGAAAAACTTACAGTATTAGTATCTTGTTTTGATTTATTTCTGCAGAAGTTGAGTTTGTGGTAATTTTGCTACATGCATTTATATTTATTCCAGTGTAACCGTCCTTGTGTGTAGGTTAATAATACGTGTTTTTAAGTTACACAAAAGTTAGAGCCTTTAGGAGGATTGATGGGATCTTGGAATTTTGAAGCCTCTTTGGAAAGAACCCGCACAATTTGTTTCCAAACAGTGCTAATGTGTTTCTGCATCAGCAGGTGGGTTAGAGCATTATTGACCGGATGTATTTACTGGTGTCTCTTGTGCTGTATTGCAGGTGAACTGATTAACCTTGCTATGTATTGTGAGAGAATAAGGAGGAAATTTTGGCCAGAATGGCACCATGATGATGATAACACTCTGTATGAATCTGAGGAGAGCAGCGAGGCGAGCAAGACCTACTCCCCTTTGCAGGACTTCAGTTTTTATTCAAGGACAGAAACGTTTGATGAGGAAGGGAACAGTATTTCTCAAACCCCTGACACAGATTACACGGGACACTCCCTCTTTGACTCAGATGTGGACATGGATGACTACAGAGATCATGAACAATGCAAGTGATGTGTACAAGCATCTCCCATTTTGCAGACAAGCTGTTTCTTGGGATCAGTGTGATTTATTTTCTCCTCCAGGTCAGGAAGAGGTTTATACCACTTTGGAGGAGACCATTGTGCTTGACTCAGCTGTCACGTGCTACCCAGACTATTTCAACTTTAATTCATTTTGTGTAACTGTTCAGGTGGAACCACGGTAAACAGTTATTTAAAACACACACGGGCAAACTGGAGGTCCAGAAGGCAACAGGACCTTTCAATCTACATTTTTGTTTGCTTTCGAAACCAGATCCCACAACCAGGTGGGACAGACCCCCGGGAAGTGGAGCATTTGTCAGAGCTGGTTTGTGTTGATATCTTATCTTTACAGGAATGGGTTGAGGAAAAAAATGGAACTGGCACGACTGGCATACCTTTCTCCCAAGGAAGAAAATGATTGATGCTGTATTGATTTGGCAGATTTTCGGGGGGATTTTATTTGATAGCTGCCCGCGCTCTGGGTGCATGTGCTACAGTGTCTGCAGGAAGGAACTGCTCCCAGTTCTTTTCGGAGACAGTCAAGGAAGGCAGGAGGGAAAAAATATTCCTACAAAAAGGAGCATTTTAGTGTTTCTTGTTCTTTGTAAAAGGTGGAAATCGCTACTCTAGAATATTTTTATTCAGAAGGGAAATACGAGTTTTAATGAATAACCTTCCAAACACTCAACTGGAATGTGTGTTGGCCAAATTTCTTCTGTGTTTTCGAATTAGTATCATGTTCTTACTTCCTGCTGCTGGCTGTTGTCTGCTATTGCTAGGCAAGGCTAAAGAATTGGGGTTTGTTACTGAAAGTCTGGTGCATCTCAGCAGCGGGTGCTTTGTGCTCTTTACTGACAGACACATCAAACCCATGGAGCTTGCGAAGCGATTTGGGGTGTTTCTAGGCGTGGGGTCCTGTGGAAATGCAAGATGTTGGCCCAGGCAGTCAAAGGCTTTAAGATGCTTCAGTGGGTGCTGGGCACAGTGCTGGCTGATGGGGCACAGTCCCTGATGCCGGTGCTCGGGGAGGGAGTTGGGATAGATGTCTGTGTCAGCTGCTATCTGTGGGGATCTCCAGGTGCTGAAAGAGTGACCAGAATTGATTTTTAAGGCGCCTTTTCTAGCACGTCTGTGATCCTGGAACCCCAAATCCACGGTGATCACGCAGGTGCTGACATGCTTTGTGTTTATGTCTCCCTAAATGCAGGTTAGAGGTGAGAATGAATCTGTGGGATTTACTCACCAGTTTGAAGGTGAGCGTGTACACCAGTGTTGCATGGCCATGACTAGTTGGTTGTAAGTAGAGATAAAGCATATAGAACACATAGGCAGCTGTGGTATTTGTAAACGTGCATCTAAAACTGGATATTTACTCGTAGACGTTGGTAATGGCCTGTTTAAAAATATTGTAATTATGACTTTTCTCAGTGAGTTAGGGTTAAATGAATCGGGATCTCGCAGCAAAATTTTTATACTGTGTTGTTGTGCCATATGTCTGGGGCAGGCAGGACAGACAACTGCCTTAGGGTGTCAACTGTTGGAAGCCCTAACTGTTGGAAACCCTAATAACTTGAAATAATTGGAGCTTTCAAAGAATACCTCTCATTCTTAGATCATGGAGTGCCTCCTGCAGAGGAAAGCGCTTGCTCTGGGGAAACACCAAGCTAGCCATGGCTCTGAAAGAAGGGTGACACATGTCTGCCATGACTTCCCAGGTCTCTTCATGCATGGGAGCCACCACAACGAGCGCTGACAAGTTTGGTGTGGTCTGAGGTGGGTGTGAATTTGCACCTGTGTCCTCAATTCCCCGAGCATGTCCTTGGAGCCACGTTCCAGCCAATGATCTCTGTTGTTGTGGGCAACTGTCATTTGTGAAGTTAACCAAAACTGAGGAGGAGGAAGGTATCATCCACTTCTCAGGAAACTAAGCACAGGTATAGGCACAAGAAGATAGGTCTTGGGCTTGAAAGCACAGAGGAGATGGCCTTAAATGCCCATGAAATTTCATAGCCAAGTCAGGCCAGATGTTACCTGCAAAGATGGAGGTATTGGCTTTCTGGATAAAAGGCATTCATGTCAAAAAGCTCTACTTTCAAAACATTTGTGTGTTGGGAATTCTGATGTTCTCATTTAATTACCTGTGTGTGTTTGAAGGCTGTGCTTTCTCCATCTTTTCAGCGTTGGGGGTGTGTGCTTGCAGGTATGGAGGCTCCTGCTGACAGCAGATGAGTCCCAGCCATGACTCCCAGTTGTCAAAAGACCAGCCTGAGTTCAGGAGACCCTGTCACCTTGATAATACCACAGCATGGGTACCTGCTGAGGATGTAGGTGCCTGGCGGGACCAGGGTTACATTCGCACCCAGCGTTTTTTGCTTTTATTTTAAATAAATTGGTGTGCCTCGGTGGAGGCTGAACCTCACCCTGACCAGCCTCAGTGGAGGCTGAACCTCACCCTGACCACCCTCCCCAGCCCCTGGGGAGGGTGAAGAGGAAAGGATGGGAAGGGGTTGCAGAAGGGGAAGCAGCTTTTTGCTGTCAGCTAAATGAGGTTTTCCAGGGTGTTAATCAGCAAGGTGAATGTATCTTGCAGCTCATCACACACCAGCCTGTTCTGAGGGAGTGCTCAGGTTTGGAGAAGCTGGTTGGGAGAAGTTAGTTGGCTTTCTCCTCACGACAGCTACTCTCAGTAAAGTCTGCGTGTGTGTGTTTGGCTGTGTTTCAAACTAGAGGTGAAATAAGGAAACGGCATCTCCTTAGGAATTTATAGGTGTAGTCCAGGTTTGACAGGCAGTCCATGGGTTTATTTATCCATTCTGGAAACAAATACTGACTGTTAGTCCTGTTTAAAAGGATTTAATCCAAACTTTTTTTTTTTTTGGAAGCTGATACTGGTAAAGTGTTTGCGGGGGAAAAAAATGTTTTAAAAAAATAGCTTTTTTTAACATCTGTGAAAAAGTGTTAATTCATTTTGGTTTGCATGGGGAAAGAAAAGATGTGTTTTCTCCCCCCCCAAAAAACACCACCAAAAAAACAAAACAGATTTTTTGACTTTCCAAAATTCTGCTAGAAGAGCAATATTTTCTTAGTCCTGCAGTGTCCCCCCCCCTTTTCTGTCATCTCTGTTTTTTACTTTGGTGCTGAGGGGCCATACAGAACTAAAAATAGTTGGAGAGCATATTTATTTCCTCTTGGGTTTTTTTTTTTTTTTTTTTTTT